AGCTACTGGTGTGATCAGCGTAACATTTGGCGGTTTATCTAATAAGCTGTTATTTTGGCACAGCTGGCCTCTGTTTATTTTATAATAAGTGCGTGATTATGTGTCGCTATATTATAGCCCTTTGTCATTGGGGCAAAATAACAGAGTATTGCGTCTGCTACATGCAAGGATGTGTGATGTGGACATTTAAAAATTCTAATAGCCATTTTTTGCTTTATAGGTACTCGTCCTATGCTCAGGTCTGCATGCATCCGGACTGCCAAACATAACATGTATTTTCGAGATTATAAATCCATCAAACATTGCCAAACAAGACGGCACACCTTACTTGAAAAACTAGTCAACTTTTCATGCCATCAAGTGTTATGAAATCCAGCACAATATCTCTGAATCAGAGGCCTATTTTTCTGACGGATGTGGTTGCAAGTATTATCTATCTTAGAAGGATTTCGGACGTGCTCACCTCGTCGTGCATTATGACTGAATCCTAGTGTCTCATAGCAATCGCTGAGCAACTAGAAATATATGCAATACGTAAGGAACGGAACCAGGGTTACGCCTATCCCGACCATTCCAAACGACTTTATCGTTTACTTTAGTCCTCAGCTTACTAATTTGTTTGAAACATCGATGTAATTTATCTGACTTGTTAGCGCATATTTGCAGAAAAGATTGGATACCATTTTTTTATTTTTATCGTGGAGATTAGAGAACTGATGTCAAAGACAATCAAGCCATAAAATGTTACCAAAGTTTCCTTTTTTGCGATCTGTATACACAAACACATCAAAAAAAATTTAAACAAAAACTTGTGCTCAAGTATTATCGCATTGGATGGTTGGTCATATTGCTTATGTACGTTTTCATCAAACATTTGAAAAAAACCTGGCAGTCCGGTTTAACTAAAAATCCAAATCTGATGCATCTGCTGTATTTGAGCTCTCCTTCGTTGAAACTGGTTGCTGAATAAACACTGAGTAAACACACTCTCGATATGGCCTTCCAGTTCTAGTTGTTTTTTGCATCCATCATGCAATGCAAATCTGACGACCAAGCGATATGATATCTAAGAGATGTTTGCCAAGGCGGATTGACGGATAGTTAAAAACATATATCTTCAAATTGTTTGGAAATATTGGTTGAGCGTTCTCTACAAACTTAATACACTTCGCGTCCGTTGTCTTATTCCTGACCGTCTGCATATACTTAAATTGTCATGGCTAGTTCCCTGTTTAAATAAGTGCGACCATTTGATTATTCTAGTTTTACATTTCTAACTTTCAATTGATTTATTTTCCATGGGCTTTTGGTGTGATCTGCCTTACATAAGGTGGTTTTTTTTTAGTTAGCTCTGATTTTTCGTAGTAGGCCTCTTCTTTATTTTCTAATAAGTGCGTGCTCGTTTGTTGATATTTAATAGCCTCTCGTCGAAAATATATCTTACTTTCCGGTATCCTGTGTTATATTTACTTAACCTTTTATCTCGCGGACTCGGAATGTCAAATCCGTATAAGCTGGATTACCGTTGGTCGCGTTGTGTACAGTTGCCGACTTACTTGGTTCCATCGTGTTAGTTTTAATCCATTATTTCTCGCCTCCAAAAAAATGTGTCGTAAATGGTTAGTCAATTTTCACTGGGTCGACTTTTTTTCTCTGAAGCTTAAGAGAGCTAGGGTGGGCTCTCTTGTGTCACAGAATTAATATGTCAGCAATCTGAATGGGTGTCTAACCAAACCGTACTCGGTTGTTGCCGACTACATAATTCAGTGGTCATTTTCCCTCACGCGCAGTATTGCACGGCCAGAGGTCAAGTGATGCATGAAAGAGAAAGTTTCATGTACCAAACCAATTGTGTATTAGTTCATTTAATGCAAATTAAAAACATCTCATCATGCAATCAGGGTTCCTCCTACACATTGCTATGCAAGCGTCCTGCCTATTCCACCGGCTAAGCATGTCAAACACGCTCTTTGATCTCGCAGGAGCCAGAATTTGTTCAAGAACCTCAGCCGTCAGTTCATCTTCTCTTTCACTGGCATTTTTCTCATCTTCCTTCTCCTCCTGTTTCGCATTTACTCCGCTCAAATTCGGGTCGTCCATATCATGCTCTACTTCCAGTCCCTGATAGACCGGTGACGCCTGGCAAAGGAGTGCTTGTGCAACAGCCAAAATCAGTAGTATCGAGAGGCTGGTCATCGTTGAGGTGTTTAGTATTCACTCAGATACCCTCTCTGTTTTTCTGAATTTGGGTTCCTAACTTACTAGTATATATATGCTTGCGGCTGAACGTGGTTATGTGATTAGAATCACGTGTGTTTGGTCATCACAGTATCGCGTTCAATGTAAAACGCGTGGGTTTGGAATTAAAAGTGCATGGACGGTGACTGTTTACGTTAGGACTGCGTTGGTGGAAGTGTAGGAGCCCCTGCGTCGACTACGAACGTGCCGAAACATCCTGCCTTGATCTACAATTACTAGCACCCACGCCTTATAACTTATTTTATTAAGTTCCCCCCTTTGACGGTCCTTGCATTGTCTTGCCGCTTGATACGCAAGTTTCCTCGATGCCAATCAATTAGCGCCGACTACTCTTGATTGGCTGCACAAGCGATGGGGCACCAATTGCGCAATCAATTATTTCTCAACAGCATGATTCTCCTTTCATGCTTCATGATTTAGTTCGACGAGAATTCCCCATTTTATATACGCCTTAGATGCCTTTTTATGGAAAAAACTGTCATCGTCAGGTCGGTATATTGACCTGGCGAATAAAAAAGTCCGTTCTTTGCAAAAACCTATTGTTCGCTCAGCGAAGGGAGTGGAGGGGAGATGAGCGGGGAGTGGGTGGCCAGTCAGTATCACGTCTCGTGCATATTCACGAAGTTGAGATGCGGCGCGCGGGAACGGTGGGACCCTATCACGGTCGGTGGCATGGTGTCCGATGCAACAGGAGCCTGGATTACTAGGACCGTGGTGGAAGGCACTATGCTGATTGCTATTTTTAACCCCGAATGAGACCCGACTCCACTGACAGTTACTTAGCGTATGCGAGTATTATTCTCCCCTCCACCCTTCTGTTGCTGCTTCTTAACCTGACAGTTTACCGACATATTTTCACCACAACTAAGTTCGGTTATTTGCTGCTACTTATCCTTTACTTGGAATGTCACGAAACGCAGATTAGGCAGTAACGGCTTTTAGTGTGCGGTTATGAGCTTTACTAAGACTGGGTCGATCAAGGGAGCATGGGCAATCCCGGCAACACG